GTTGGCCAGAGAATTGGTGATGAACGGCGTCGAAGGTAACGGAAACGTGTTTGGTGCGCCGTCGGTGTACGGAGTGGTTGCTTCTGCATCGAAAACGGTTGCGGCAACGGCGGCGGCTGGGATGGAGAGTGTTGTTTCGATGTACGGCTCGTCAATCGCCACCGCACTCCCGATGAAAGCGCCGGCGGAGATGAAGTCCGACAGCGGTCTGACCTGTGTTCCTGCCTCGAGAAAGCGGTCGCGGGAGGCGGTTAATACTCTGCTCTCGTCGTACGGTGGTTTCAATTTCCTCGGTGAGGATATCTCGCTTCAGATCCAACAGCAGCAACTGGAAATCGATCGGTTCATAGCTCAAAACGTACGTGAAATAATCGATCGATTCTGTTTTCTTTCCCCCTTTGTTTTCAATTTTGGGTTATATGCAGTTTACTGATTACGCGTTGGATGAATTTATCGGCGGCAGACTGAAAATGTGAGAATGGAAATGGAGGAGAGGCGACGGAGGCACGCGAGGAGGATCGCGGCGGCGGCGGTGGAGAGCCTCTCCAAGCGGCTTAGAGCCAAGGAGGACGAAATCGAGAAGATCGGAAAACTGAACCAAGCGCTGGAGGAACGAGTCAAATCCATGTGCGCCGAGAATCAGATATGGCGGGACCTGGCTCAGGCGAACGAGGCGGCGGCAAACACCCTGAGATCCAATCTGGAGCAAGCCATCGCTCAGGCGCGAGACAGAGACCGCTGGCAGGCCGACGAAGCGAGCTCCTCCTGCGGCAGCAACCACGGCGAGGGCGGCGGCCGAATGTGCCGGAGCTGCGGCAGGGAGGAATCGTGTGTGTTGCTCTTGCCGTGCAGGCACATGTGCCTCTGTACCATCTGCGAGTCCACGCTTCACACGTGTCCCGTCTGCAGCGCTACCAAAACTGCCAGCGTTCACGTTAACCTCGCCTGTTGAGAGAGTAAGGGGCTGTTTGGGTTTGTTCGTATTTTGTCGGTAATCTCCAAAATTGATCAGAAGGATTGCAAAGGAAAAGGGGAATTGTTGCGTGAAATTAGATTCGTACAAACTAGGCCTTATCTCTTTAATCACTGTAATTAGTTATGTTAAATTTTGCTCTCCCGACTGAGATTTTCGTGCCGGCGTCAGAGATTTCACGGTTAACAAGCCGGCCCGTGTCAGCGCGTGTACTCAGTCGCGAAGTAGGGAGAGTGGGATATAGAGTTGAGATGGGTGAAAATGAGACGTGCAGCGTGTAGCTGACACGTAGGACTAGCGCAAATGTCGCTGTTGTGGTGAAAAATGGAAAGAGGTTGTGAATTTTGAACTTTCGATACACCAAACAACTTGTCACGTACGAATTGTATAACTGCACTGATGCGCACTGCAGAGGGAAAGGACTGTGAATAGCTAACCTGACTGAGTTCAGTTCCCGCCAAATGAAAATGAAAAGGATAAAAAGTTTATTCCATTAAAACTCTTAAAGATTTTATTATAATGATAATTTCGTTATAATTGAAAAAATTCACTTTGTTATGTGGGTTTAATTTTAACATAATACATTGATATTGTTATATTAACCAGTAATCGCAATTAAGTCGAGTCGAGCTTTAAATTCTTGATACGTACGCAAACTTGATTAGTTAAGAGCACCCACAATGCTTTGAGTCTCTTAACAAAAAATCACATGCCACATGGAAAATAGACTTAGTTTATAAAAAAATGTTTTTCAATGCAATTAAAAGTGGACATGATCTAGCTTATGTGGCAATACAAAAAAGAAACCAAGTCCACACTTGGGTCTATTTTGGACCCAAGTACAAACCCAAACACTCATCATTTATTTTTAATTTAATTTTTCTTTTAATAAAGAAAACATATTAGATCATTTTTATTGGTTGACATTTATGCTAGACCTAATATGTTTATTTTTGCATTGCAATGTTTTTGAATTTTTTTACTTGAGTTTGTCCATGTCAACGTACAAGTCTGTCTCTATTAAAAATAAAAGAGGGTGACGAGCAACTCGAATGAGCTTTTAATGTAATCAAGTTTAGCTCATTTATATGAATTTTATTGTACAATATGCTTTTTTTTTTTTTTTTNTTGCATATCATATAATATTTTTTAGAATTAAAAATATTAAAATAAATATATTTTTATTAAACAATGTTGATATGGAGGAAATAAAACTCTGATTTAGTCAAATAAACTGAATATTGTGTTTATTAAACGATTTTGATCAAAACAAACCCCAATTATTCAGATCCATAATTTGCACTCAAAAAATTTATGGAGGTAGCCATCGACTTCTTTATTGAATCATTCATATATTAATGTGTTGAAAGTTAAAACAAATTTTAATTATATTTGTTTTATATTCACTATACCATTATATACTAAAATTGGTTTAACCGATGGAAAAGAACACGAACCGTGTGGTGGTGATGCGACGTGGATTATTTTGGTTGTCTATACTTTATTGTATAAAGAGAGGCACGTGAGATTCACGCTCCCAGCATCTCCAGTCACTTTCATGGAAGCACGACAAAAGTACCAGGATTATTTATGGTGTGAATTACAAGAATTTTGATTTTTATCCAAAATTTTCGGCAAGTGTTATAGTATTTTAATCTATCGGTAAAAGATAAAAGAATCACTGTATTTTACTATTTTTACTATCGAAAATAATCCAACCTTAAAAAATTAAATAGTGCAGTGCATAATGCATTCATCGATAAGTTGATCCCACCAATTGGTACTCTCACCGAATGTCCTTTTGCAGTACTGGAAAAAACGTATTTCCTTTTTTTTGGGCCCTCACGTGAACAGCACGTGAAATCGATGTTTCAGATAAATTGAGGAGAAAAAAAATTGCTCATGAATAGTTATGGTGGTGGTTAATGTTACCATCTCAATTGCTATTATCATCAAATTCTTTTGACGTTTTTGCTTGGGAGCCTTTTAAATTATGAGAAATAAATTTGTGCGTGCACGTTGTGAGATCATTCGCCCTTAATTTGTTATTTTTGGGTCATGTATATTTCAATTCTTTTGTTTTCTAAAGAATTTAAAGGAAAATCATCAAAATTTCACGAAATATTGTATGTCGGTCTAATCGTTTGGGAGGTCGATCTATATCATTTCAACAGTTAAACTCGTCAAACTGTCATTTTCTTTGAATAGAAATGTATATTTATATTACTTAGACCACTATATTGTTTCGACTATATTAATATTTTTTTAAAAATAATACTGTAAAAAGTTACTAATAGGTTGTCGTCTTTTTCTATAACTCAAATGACATTTATTACTAATTTATATAAGATTTCAAACTTCCTTTATAATTGGTTGATAATTTTATGTTTTTAATGAGCCGACCTGGTCCATCTCTAAATCGGCCGACCTGTTTTACTTAGTATTAATCCGGTCTAGTCGAGCTCTGACCGTATCAACATGAGTCTCGAACTAAATTATGAAGTACTATTAACCAAGATATCTTTTATATAGTAATCACATGTAGAGTTTTTAAACTAAATGAACTTCTCATGACCTTGCTTTGAGGTAGGGTGGAGAAGGAGAGGAGAATTTATCAAAAAAAAAATTGCTCGTTGAGATAACAAGTCGAGCTTGACTCATTAAAACTCGTTAGATTTGTTTATATGAGTTTTTACATAATTTTTAAAATTCTTATTTTAGTTTGATGCATTTTAACTTATAAATACTAATAAATGAGCCGAACTTGAGTACAAGAAGTTTGAGCTCGACGAGCTTTGATAATTAATAGTTTCCATATAAATATTTATGCTTCCAAAATATGGATTGGGTGCAGGACCCACGATGGTACAAACGCCCAAAGCAGGGGTAATAAATAAAAGAGCGAACAAAGCAAACGTAATTGAGGAGATTTGTTGGTCTCAAAGATCTTTTTAGTTGTTCCTTTATGATCAACGTGACTTCAATTTATTTGATTTTACTTTTATAAAAGNTTTAAAAACATGCATATTTATATTTAAAAAATATTATATTCTAAAAAATAATATAAAAAAATATATACATTGAGTAATATAAATATAAATTTTTATTTAAATAGTCGGTCTATGTACCAATCAATCTGCCTTGCCTTACAGAATAATTCATGTGATAAGTTGTGGAAATCAAAGAAATTTATAGTCAACTAATGGGAAGGAATAGTATTTTCAGTGTACAATTTGTTAAATGGTTATTATCTTCTCATATGTCACTATTAATATTCTCGTATTCAATGTTGCCAAAGTCTACCAACATACGCCATTATTTTCTGGGTGGAGATTTTAGGCTCCACCAATTTACCTAAAATTTAATTTATTTAGTCCCAAAATTTTGGCATAAATGTGAGATCCGTAATAGATATAATAATTATTTGCTATAATGGTATTCCTAATTCTTCAATGTCATTTTCCAACCAATTCATAAATATGTAATTGTTAAAGACAATTATACTTTTTCAACATATACACATATTTTAAAATTAAAGTATCATTTTATAAAAAATATGGCATAAACAAAAGTATGATATTTTATAGCATAAAAAAAATGTTTTAAATATAATTGATCAACATGTTTAAGTGCAACGAGTCGTACTATGTGATAGTTAAACCGACTCATACAAATTACAAAAATGTATAATATTTAAATGAGTTTGGATATATAAATAAATATGATTATTAACTTGTGGGAGGTGGAGTGAAATAATAGCTCTGACCTGCTTTAGTTCGGAATTTTTTAAATTTCTACATTCATGGTCTCTTCTTGAAATTTTGAATGAGAATTTTTATTATAATTTATATGCAATATTTATTAATATTTACAAAATTGCAATTTATTTTTCTTGGTGCCTAAGTTATGCCATAATATTGCAACTTAATTAAAAAAGCAAATTGATGATGCTTGTTGTGCTATCCATTTTAAAGAATAGTGTTATAACTTAATTATAAACTAAACTCAACCAATCTTAAGGTGTTTTAAAAGTAAAGGAAATTGACCAAAATAACTTGTGACTCCATCAATAATTTATTAATTTTCTCATTCCCACCATTTTTTTTCCCTCAAGCAATTGTCCTTATCTTGAAAGTTATACAACCATCTTTCCCAAAATATTTCTTTTTTTTTTTATTTATTTGGGAAAGAAATTTATCGTTTTTTTGAATTAAATGTGGCCCCTCCTAGTGAGATACACTTTTCAGTATAAAAAATCAGTTTTTTTTCCTTATAAGTAAAAAAAAATTAGTTCAAGATATTAATTAAATTTTGAATATTTAATTTAATTAATTTTAATTTAAAAGAAAAGTTGATGAAGAAAGTTAGACATGAATTGGCTGTGGACAACCAATAAAAGTGACAATTTGTAGTAATAAGGCCCCATTTAGCAGCCCATCATTATGTATTTGGCTAAATATTATTCTATCTTCATTGTTTTTCAAGTCACCAGTTTGAATAGCAAAACTTTTACCTTCATTTATTCAACAAATATTTTATTTCATTGGATTAATTCCGCTGAGAANAGTAAAAAAAAAAAAAAAAAGAAAAAGGAAATAAAGAGGGTACGAAACACAATGATAAATAGACAGATGTGGATTTTGTGGTTTTTCGGATTTAATAACAATTCATAATCCCATTACCCATACTGTATGGATGACTTTAATCTTATTAAGTGGTATTATTAATCACAGCATTTTAAGTTAGTGGGAAAATTGATACTCAAGAAATTGACCTTTTTTCTCCTTATTTATTTATTTTTTCTTGTTTCAAACACTTCAATTTTCTTGTTTCAAACACTTCAATTAAGTCATTCCAACCTATTTATAACACAAATAAAAATATAATGTTCTGATAAAAATTTCAATAGATACTGCAATGTTTATAACTTATGTGGAAACAAAATTAGGTGATTCATACAACATTTTTCGAACATTATTAAACAGATTTAACGATTAAATAGTCATACTTTTTTAACAGATATGCATACTTTCAAATTGAAATTTCATCATACTAAAAAAATCATCATAGACAAAACTAACATTTTATTGTTGTAGAAATTCGCTTCGGGTTCTTTTATTTATTTATTTATTATTTTTCCTCTCTTTAGTAGCTATTCTCCATATTTTTTTTAAAATATATTGCAAGGGTTGATGCTGATTCAAAACTGCAATAAAAAGGTCTTTGTAGAGTCCTACCCAGAGAAACTAAACCCATTCATGAAAAGTGAGTGTCAGTATAGAAAAAAATTATTGCGTAAAAGGTAAACAAGATATGATTTTTAAGGTGAAAAAAAATTGGTCTAATGCTCTCTTTTGTGTACACATCACTTTTTGGATTCTTATGCTTTGGCCTATCACATGCATCGGCACAAGATAGGCCAAATTTACTGTTTTCAACAAAGGCAACAAGAGCTTGTCCAAGAAAAAGCTTTCAATTCCTTATGGGGTTCCCCATAATGTGATGTTGGTGCAAGACATTAACCATTAATATGGAGATGGTATTGAGGGACCATTCAAACTTTTGTATTGTGGAAGAATGACTT